ATGGCCACTTCGACCTACCATCCTTCCCAAGGAGCCATGGGGCTTAGGGACTAGGTTAGTAGCCTCGACACGGACGACTTTCGGTAGCGCCCTTCGTCTCCACGCTGACCACCTTTGACAGGCAGTCGACTCCTTCCTGTTATTCTTTATATTGTGTTGATCACTCCTATTCGTTCCTCCGCTTCTTGTTTGTCAATACTAATAAGATGTTCATTTCTTACCTTTGCTGTCGTAGATTACGCTCGACATTACTGTGGGTACACCCGTCCAGTTGATCACGAACCAACTGGGCTTACAATTTTAGGCATCATTGCGCTCGAAGGTCAACAGCGCACTCCAACTCTTGCTAAAAGAGGTCAACTGGGCGAGTTCGAGAGGCGTTCCGTAGAAATACTTATGTATGTCCGCGAAAAAAAAATCAAGGGCTCCTGGCTACTTATCTTGAGAGGACCTTGGTGCAAGTTTTTACTATATGGTGGATACTTGAGATAATTTTATGATGTATTGCTTGCCAGAATGAACACCGAGTTGGGCTTAGTTTGCGAATAAAAATGCCATTCTCGACAATGATAAGTGAGAGGTTCCACTTGAGAATCAAGGATGAGTTCCTGCATCGGAATGCCAATTCTCGCCCGGACGGCTTTGTTGATCTACTAATAAAGGTCGCTGAAGATCTCTCGGACGCACTGGAAGTGAAGGTGGAAATATAGATGCGCAATCTTTTTGTTAACATTACATCACATTATCACATTTGATGATCTCACCTTGCAGGATAGCCGCCGAACAAAAGGCAGGTAAAGAAAAAAAACAACAAGAGCAGGGGTTCCACAAAAAGCTTTGAAGTACGTTTGAAGGACCGTGTGCCTGTCACGCTACGGTAGGGTCATTTATCTTCAATTTCTAATGACGGCCTAATATGACATGCATTCAGAAGAACACACACTGCCTCACGTGCGGTGCTTGCGCCTATGCATGGAGCTGCACATACATGGATAACAGAAGCAGCATCAGCGGTCTTCACAGACATGCTGTCAAAATACTTAATCAAGACACACTATCAGTTGGAACAGTTGGAAGGCAGGTTACAACATCTCGAGAAACTGCTCCTCCGTCCGCCTTTGGAAGCTGATTCAGATGCGCCGATAACGATAGCACAAGAGCGTCGCTACCGCAAACCGCGTGCTATCAAACGTCAGTACCCATGAATGAACGTTGAACGAATGAACGTAAATGACGTTATTCAGTTGAAGGTCACATAATTTATTTTCAGACATATGCTGTCGTAGAAGCTGCCGCCACCTCGCTGGCTAAACTTGACACAGATGAAGCAATGGAACAGCTGGAAGAGATTTTGTTACCTTGCAACTCACAGCAGGAATAGCACAACCTCCATCGTCCAGCTCATTGGCCGTTCGCCCAGAGTTGGCACAAATTGGAAGGCAAGCCACAGTTGACTAAAGTGCAGCTTTACCAGGTACCCACATTGTATGGCCAAGATAAGGTCAAGTAAGATTTCCATTCTCCGAAAAAAAAATGCGAGCCAATCAATACTTTT